GGCTTCCCCTTAGCCAGCCTGGCCTTATAGACTGAATGGCCCTTGGGTTATGCTTACAAAATGGGTCCCCACTCTCCGGATCAAGGATGGACACACAGATGCCCAAACAACCACTACATGAGAAACTTTGCTTTTTACGGGCACATGTTCCAGGCATGCATCCTAGCCGTAAAGAATTTCCTGCTTCCCAAAGACTTAAATGGTACTTACAGAGAGGATATCATGATGCCTGGTGACAGAGTTTTCTGGGTATAGCTGTTCCCAGCTATGGGGTTTATATAAATAGATATGTAAGAAATTTATCGGCAGCATTAAAACAAATTATTGTAGTCATTGCAAAAAAAAAATTACTGTACAAGTCTCTAAATTCCTTAGCTTAAATGGTTAACTATGCTTATGTTTTATATAAGAAATTGCTATAAGTCTATAGATAAATGCATGAGTACAATAGCTCAACGCTTACAGATAAGTTTGTAACCTTGCTTTTGGCTTTTGCATTTTGCACGTAGTCGCCAAAAAGCTTTTAAAGGTTGATGAGTGCCTGTCCATCTCCATTCCCGTGTGGCCCAGAATATTTAATTGGCTGTAAGCTTTTTGCCTCTAAGTCCTTTGGACACAGGGGTCCCATCAAGGTCCTAGATGGACCTAGGGCAAGTAGCCACTCTACCCAGGCAATGATGGGACAAAGTAAAAGTTTGGCCATCGATCCTGCCTCTGGCAGATCTTAGCCAAAAGTGGGGGATTGTGAATGCATATAAAATCTTAAGCCCCCCCACCTGACTGAATGCATCCCTCTTGATCCAGGGGATGCCAGAGAAATCTTCAAGCTTAGTTGCTGGCCATGAGGAGAAGGGAGGTCAGACTAGCTCTGTGCCCTCCATTCTGGAGTTATTCTGTGTAACAATTAGGTACTAAATCATTAACAGGCCTAAGGCCATGCAGGACAAGCTTAAAGCATACGTGCAGGCCATTAATGTAGTTAACAGATCACTTGAGTTTTGCAAATGTCCGGTATGTGTCCCATGGCTTGATTCTGATTAACAGACACCCTTATTGCAAAACATTCCAGGCCTTTGGGCAAAGCGTCATTTCTTCAACCACTCAAAGAATCAAAGAATCTTTAAACCCTCCGATAACCTGTAAGTCCCCGCTTAGAGATGTCCTGGCTTTGCGCCAAGGCCAGGTACACCTTCCATGTATTGATTTATGATTTTGCATGTAATTGTGTTGTTGAAACTGGGGTGGGGGTTTCAGCCTAGATCCAGTTGCTTGTTGCACAAAGATCCAATTGTTGCGACAATCGAGGATTGCCAAGGAAGAAAGGAATATTTCATGTGACAGACTTGTTGAGAGAATGGTAAAAGCCTCAAATCTGCCCCTCTGGCTAATGGAGGTAATGCCCTTTTAATGGAGGGGCCACTGGGTTTGGGGCAGGTCATGGTGTAACTAACAAGGAGCTAAGTGCACTGGGGCCAGGTTGTTGGGGATGGTGCATCTTGGCATCAGGAAAATGCCCAGAGGCCTTCAGAGGCCTCCTTTCTTTTGCAAAAAATCCACCATTTCTGGGAAACAACTCAAAATGTCAAGTAGTTAAGGGAGAGGATTATTAAAAACATATAGGGCTAATTGGAATTTGCTCATGGAGCCAGTAACAATTCCTGTGTCTTTAAAATATATAAAACCAACTGTTACCCAACAGTGGTAGGTACAATGTAACCCAACCGTGGTATGGTGGGACCACTTGCTCAAGGCTTCTTGGGAGTGAGTCTCCAGGCTATGGTCACACATATTTGGCTCAGCATATACCTCTTTATTATAGAGTTTGGATTCTTTTCTGTTGACACTTTAATGTCTTTTTGATCCAGGATGTTTAGAACCATATTTTTTTTAAGGTTTTAAGCATTTGGGGATTTTCTAGCTATCTTGCTGCTATTGATTGCCAAAGAAATTCCATGGTAGTCAGAGAACCTACTTTGTGTGACTTGACTCCTCAGTTTTAAAAGCTGGGAGAGAGACAGAAAAGCGTGCTGTACTGCAGTGGTGATCTCAGAGAGGCAAGGTTTGGTGAAGGAGAGAGGGAATAATGACAAGAACAAAACGCTGGAGAAGGTGATTCTGGATGGATCCAGCACTCAGGTGGGGCGTGGCCTGGGGAGGAGCACCCCTCTTCTCTTGCAGCAGAAGGGAAGGCAGAGTGTGGAGGTCTAGTTGCAGCTGTGTTGAATGCTTCTCTCTGAAGGTTCTCTTTGAAGGCTGACAGATTTGAGGCCATCACTGAGAGGGACTAGCCTGGGAGATAAGAGGAAACAATAGCGATTTTACAGAGAAGGAAAGTGAATTTATTAGAGAAAAAGGCACTATTGGCTAATAGAATTTGTGGGCCTTTGGGATTGAGATTGTAACATAAAAGAGCACAGTCAGCTTCCTGTGACCCCTCCCCCAGAGCTGTCTAGCTGCTGGTGCAGGCTGAGCATGGTGGGTAAAGTTGTGGGTTGGGGTTTTGCCAGGCTCCTGCAACAGAGTGAAGGGTGTTTGCAAGGGGAGAGTTGTAGCACAGAGTTATGGCCCTGTTCGTTCTTTGAGATATTTTGCCTCTCTTTCTACATTTTAGGTAACTGATAGGAATGCAAATGCTGCCCTGTCTAGTGCTGCTTTAATTAACTTCTTCCCTTCTGTGGAAACACCAATTTTGTCAACACTTGCAATTCAGCACAACATTACGTTTTTTTTCCATATAAATCTGTACCCTTTTAGCTTTCTCTCTGAACCAGTTATGACATCTACCTGGTTCACTCGTATCTGTAAAATATATTTTTTAATACAAGTTTATTTTTAGTCTGTATGAGAGCCACGATTTTGCCTTTTCCTGAAAATTTCACTTTAGAACCATGAGCCTATCTCCCAGCCTAAGAAAGAAAGCCTTAGCAATACAGCCTCCCTCCTTCACCCCAGAGGTAACCAGGTCCTTGAGTTTGGAATCATGCTTTCTTTAAATGTCTTAAAGCTAGGTGTTATTTTAAAGGTACTAAAGGATAAATATCTTTGCAATTCAAGTATACATTTCCAAACTAGCACTTGAGATACCACAGTCTTGACCTAGACATTGTTGTTCTGGTGTCTGTTTACATAAACACAGTAAGTAGGAGGAAACCAACAGCTCTATTGAAGGGCTAAACTTACACAGTAAATCTCACTTTTAAAATAGGGGCCCCATCCTTGCTTTGATGGGCTATCACGTTTCATTTCTCTAAGTCTGAAAATCATGGGAAGAGTAAGAAATCATGAGGGCAGGGGTCCTGTGCAACACGTAGCGATTCCGTGGGAGGGAGAGAAAGGCGTGGGCACTCACTGATGCCCACTGGAGCCCAGCTGGGTGTTGGGCGGTGAACACGTGTTCCTCATCGCCACAGGGGACAGTGTCCGGCCTGCCTACAGGAACTAATGGCAGCAGGTGCTGTTTTCAACTTTACCTCAATACACATAGTCCTCTTATCCCCATTTGACAGTGGAGGAAACTGAGGCACAGTAAAATGCAGTGATGTTGCCTGAGTTCATGAGCTAAGGTGGCAGAGCCTGGGCCTTCTCCCTCATGTTTTGGAAGCTTTCGACAAACAGAAAAGTAGAAAGAACAGTAAAATAGACACCCACACATCCTTCAAGTCTCAACAATTGTGAAAACTGTTATATTTCCAAATCTCTGTTCATCTCTCTGTATACATTTTACATCATATATAACATTACATGTTAATGTTGTTGACCTCACGACACTTCATTGCTACAAAACATATTTACACTGAAGAGATTTAACAATATTCTTGTCTCTCTTTTATACCCCGGTGTTTCATATAAGCCCCCACTTAGGTTTCACACACTGCAATTGGTTGTTTTTCCAGAATGACTTTGGCTCTTTAAAGAGACCAAGTCAGCTGTCTTTGCCTCTGCAGTACTGTCCACATCTCCCTAAAGCCCAAGGGACAAGTCCAGCTGTGCTCATGGTTTACATATTGTCTGCTTTCTTGGTACCCACTGGCAGATGTGAGTACTTGAACCATTTATTCATCTACTGACATTCATTATTTTGAGCAATTACACATTTTCCTCTCCTTACATCACAAAGGAAATCACAAAACTTCACAGAATTAGTAGTCAACTGAATGAGTAGCCTACTCCATTAGTAGTATATTAGTGAGTACTTAGTAGAGATATTATGGTTTTTTTTTTATTGGATAAGAATATTTTTGACATTGTAAATGTCCTTTGAGTCAAATCAGGACAGGGTACAAAATGAGGCACACGGATGGACTTTTGAGTCCAGCTCACCACTGCTCAACTCTTTTTTCTGATATGAACTGTCCATGAGGCCCCTCAGCATCCGGGGGCAAAAGGGCCAAGTACACCGGGGTCTCTGCGCCTTCTTCTGGACTTTTGGTGGCCTTGGGTCCTGCCATGTCGGTTCTAACCCAGCCTGGGCAGCAGGCATTCAGGAGGATTTTGTCTCCTTTCCTCTGCTCACTCAGGTTCCTGGCCTGGATTCTCGACAGGACTGTGACGCCAATCTTTGAAACTCCATATGCGGTGCTGGGCCAGCCCTCTTTCTGGTGCACTCCCTTCTTCGTATCTTCCACAAACTTGTTCATGAGGCCCACCAGCTCCTCCTCCGTGATGGTCTCGCTGCGGAACTTCTGCTGCAGCTCTGGGCTGCAGTTTTTAAGGGCTCTGAGACTCACCGTGCTAGACACATTCACCACTCTGCCTAAAATACACCACAAATTATGTAGAAAGGTGTCCCCAAGAATAGTGATTGCCAAATATGCTGGGATTTTAGACCAGGAAATTTTCATGTGAAAGACAATTATCAGTATGAATTCTAGGAGGACTATGCATAGAAGGTGTGGTAGTTGCATGATAAACTCCATTCCTACTCCACTGTAGGTTAGGTTAGGAGTTGAGAGTTCATGGAAGTATTCAACTCCAGGCCACACATTTTAATATTTCCAGAAGTGGCTACTTCACTTCACAATTGTAAAGACAGTGAACCAACCTGAGTGCCCACCAACCAAAGACCAGATAAACAAAATATGGTGTATATATACACCTTCAAATACTACTCTGTCACCCAAAAAATGACATCATGTCTTATTGAGCAACTCAGATGGAATTGGAGGACATTATTCTAAGTAAAGCAATGCAGGAACAAAGAACTAAACACCACATGTTCCCACTTATAAGTGGGAGTTAAGCAGTGGGTATGCATGGTCATGCAGAGTGACTTAATGGAAACTGGAGTCTCAGAACAGGGAGTGTGGGAGGCTACCAGATGAAAAATTCCCTACTGGGTACAATGTACACTATTAAGTTTAGCAGTATATTAAAAACCTAGACATATCCACTATGTAACTGAACCATGCAACAGAAAAACCACTTGTACACCCTAAATGTATTTAAATTTTTAAAAAGTGGCTGCTTGTATTAATTGCTATGTATTGAGGGGGTGGGTTCATCTTCTATGCCATTACTTGAAGGATTTGGGGGAGCGGATGGACCACATGCACAGCATGTTGGATGTTGGGAACAGAAAAGACCCAAGAAAAGAGGGTCTTTAAAATGGTCTGCAGTTGTCCAGAATGACAGACAAGGGCTTGTTGTAGAGCTGGCATGAGGTGGATTCAGGATAACCTCCGTGGGCACAACTCCTAGATCCTGGTCAGTGATGATATAGGGACAGGGCATGGTGACCTGCAGGATCCTGGTGGGTGGACAGTGGAGTCAGTGGCCAAGGTGATTTAGGGAGAAGGATGAGCACCCTTTGGAAATGTGTGTTTTATTATAGATTGGGGGTCGGAGCATCTCTGGGAGTGTTCTAGGCAGGTGAGACATTTTAGAAGGGCCTGGCAGATTGGTGGTAGTGAAGGCTCCACCAGCCTGAATAAGATCAGTCTGATGGAGCAGAGAGAGGGCGCAGGATGAAATCCTACTGCACTGCAACGTGTGAGGGGCACAGAGCAAATAAACAGCCTCTTTGAGGAGACACTGGGCTAAGACCTGAAGGATAAGAAAGAGCCAGGTGAGCACAGACCAGTGGGACAGAGAGCACCGAGAGCCACCGCAGAAGCGAGGACAAAGTCCTGAAGCAAAACTGTGCCTGGCAGGGTGGAGACAAAGCAAGGAGGCAGGTGCACCCACAGCATGGGGAGTCAGCAGGGGCCGGATCCCGGGGCGCAGACAAGGTGTGCTGTTCCCATCACACTCACCTTGGGGTTTTATTAGAGGGAGTAACTCTGTGCAGACATCTCGGGTACCAAAAAAGTTTGTTTTCATGGTCACTTCTGCTTGAATATGGAAGGGCGTGGTATCAGCAACTTTTAGGGAAGAAAGAGAACAGAGTTAAAGGACAGTAGTCATCAGGTGACATTCCATAGAATGACACACAGGCACACAAAATAGTGCCCATGAATTCTGCTGACTTGTGTCTGAAGTCTGCATCTAGTTACAGTATTGTGCCGACGTCAAATTTCCTGGTTTGATAAGGTTCCAACACAGTACTTTTTTTTTTTTTTTTT